GTGTGGCCCCAAAACAAAACAAACAACAAAAAAACTGTGGTAAAATAGATACTGGCAGACAAAGTGCCGTCTGAATTTCTAAGCGTTCAAATCAGCAGCAGCTTCATGTCCAGGACGTTGTGCAACCATCACGATTTGATCCCAAGACGTTTCATCACCCAAACTCCTAACATAAAGGGACAGTGCCCCCCAGTCATGAGGATGACTGTTACAGGTGGAGGGAAGGGCACGCCTCTGATACCTAGGGGCAGAGGTCAGCTAGGCACAGACCAGCACCCCAGGATGGAGAAGCAGTGGCTGAGGTGAGAACCCCACCCTGGGATGATCGGGGCTTCCGGACATGGGATCCCACTGCATGGGTTCGATGGGAACTCAGGGGACAGATGGCGCAGGACCGGGAGGGTCTCCTCAGAACAGCCCCAGGCGCACCGGAGTCTCCAACACATTCCTCAGCTGCTCATCCTCCCCATCAACACCAGATCCTTCCATGAATGTCCGGGTCATCCAAAGGATGCCTAAGCGGAAGCCAGCACCAAAGCTCCTTGTTCCACAGAGCAGCTGAATAGGAAAGGGCGGGCAGGTAAGAACCTGTGGGTGGGGTGAGCTCAGGCCAGGAACCCCCCATGAGACCAGGAAGAGCATGTGGCACATCCAGGCATGTGTGTGTGTGTGTATGTGTGTTGGGGGAGGTGTCTCCACGTCCTTCTGATGTGTAGGGGCCACTGCCCGCCAAACACTGATTCACCAGGCCACGGAGGAGGTGGACTGATGCACTGACAGTCTGGGGGTAGAGGCTCTGGAGTTGGGATGTCAGGGAAAATCTGTGTAGCTCAAATTCATCACTCAAATGCCTCAGGAAGTGAATGTCTCAGCTCCATAAAGTTCAGGATCGTCAACATTTCCTCCTGCTCTAGGGAAACCTGACCAAACACGTCAGCAGTCAGTGGGCATTCAAGACGGGGGATAAATGCCCTATGGGGTTTTCTGCATTTTGTTTGGGGGCCACACCCAGCCCAGCAGCGGTGCTAGGAGAGGAAGGGAATCCTGCAGGCAGGGCTGGGGATGCAACTGGGATTGGCCAAACGCAAGGCAAGTGCCTTAGCCCCCCAAAACTATCTCTCGGGTCCAACCCTGGTGGTTTTAAATCTGGTGCCTTACCAGGTGGGGCTGAAGGCACAGACAAACACCATCGGAGTGCCTAGAGACAACCCCACTCTGGGCAGGTGGAATCCATCCGTGACCTACTTTCCTTCTTTCATCAGCGCCCCCTAACTAGACAGTCTCCAGAGCGGTCCCTAAGCACTATAAGCTAAAGGGTTCAAAACGTAGCCTGGTTCCTGGAGCGTCTGCTCAGCTCTGGGATGGACCCTCCCCAGGAGCAGGCAGCCCAAAGGCTGGGGGTTGGCTGCCTGGGCTTCTTGTGTCCGTGCCCGCGCTCCTTCCAGAACCACACCTGAAGATGCAAGTTGGGGCAAATCGAGCTGCACACAGCAAGCCAGGTGCCAGCCCCCTCCTGCTCCAGCCCAGCTCCACCCTCTGGTCACTGTTGGAACCCTGCTGTTGAATGCCTGAGAAGCTCCTTACAGCCAGGTGCCTCCATTCACGGCCAGAAGAGTCCCAGTTCTCCCTGGGTCCTGGGCCAGAACGAGCAACGTGTCAGCCTGAAACGCACTGACGGCAAACCCAAACTTTAGGACCCTGTTCTCTTGAGTTATCAACCCCCTTTCCACATGATGGGAAAGGGGTGGGGGGCGGGGGGTCCTCTGCCACCTTCTCACTTCTTCCTCTTCAAACCGACCACCTCAGTCATCTTCCTGAAAGGGACAATGCCACTGTTCTGTTACTAGGGAACACAACTCAAAGATTAAAGCAAAACAAAATCCCTTGGGGCTGGAGCAATAGGACAGCAGGTGGGGTGCTTGTCTTTTATACGGCTTAGTCAGGCTTGACCCTTGACACCCCATGTGGTCCCCCAACCCTGCCAGGAGTGATCCCTGAGTGCAGAGTCAGGAGTTAGCCCTGAGTAACACCAGATGTGGCCCCCAAATCAAGTTCCGTCTAAGAAACTTGAAACCGGGGCCGGAGGATAGTACAGCGGGGAGGGCGTTTGCCTTGCATGCGACCGACCAGGGTTCAATCCCTGGCATCCCATATGGTACCCAAGCACTGCCAGGAGTGATCCCTGAGTGCAGAGCCAGGAGCAACCCCTGAGTATTGTTGGGTGTGACCCAAAAAAACAAAATAAAGAAACTTGAAACATCCAGTCTGCCGAGAACCAGGTCCTGTCAATCCTCTTCCCACAGAGCTGTCCCCGAAACTGAGAGGGCTGCAGACAGTCAACAGAACCTCTAGAGAGAGGTGGCACTGTGGCCTCCTGCCAGCCCCGGGCTGACTGCACTGCAAGCTTCCAGGCCCAGCGCGGACCCCCGACCTCTGAACAAGCTCCATCACATATGAGTGCCCGGCCATGGGAACCGCCCAGGAGGCCACCTCTCAGCTCTCCTGGAAACGGCCTAAGGTTTGTGACTCCCCGGCCACCTCGGCATAGCCTCTGGATCTGGAGGGCTGTGGCTAACGGCAGGGCCACTCCTGTGCCCATATGCCCCTCCTCCTTCCAGAGTAGCAACGCCTGCTTCCTTAAGCCCCTGACCCCCATGGTCAGGGATGGCTCCTGACACAAGATACACACAAGGCAGAGCGTGGAGGCTGACAGTGGACGAGAGACGCTGGGCCTTGTTATGGCCTCGCTGGGAACCTCCAGCAACCAACTTCTCCGTGTCTCTGTTCTGTCACCCGCTGGACGGAGATGTGATCACACCTGTCCAGGGATTGCTCAGAACCACGCCTGGCAGAGAAAGCATCGTCATGGTGGCTTTGGCTGCGGCACGACATGCATTTGCCACAGAGGCCCCTGGCCACCGTGATGTCCGCACCCCCCACCACTCTTCACCTTCTCCTCAGCTCCTCCCCCCTCCCCCTGCATTCCCTTCCCTGTCCAAGCACAGTCAAGTTCAGTCAGTTCTGCCTAACACTCCTCACGACTTCCCACACCAGGCACAGCCCCTCCTCTTCTCTCGCCCGGCCCTCCCCACAGGGCTCAACCACCAGGAGTCCTGTGTTACCTCTAAACCATCACCTTCATGCCGCCCACCAGGACCCCAATCTGATCGTGCTCCTCCCCTAAACCTTCCATGGTTTCTTCCCCCTGCACCTTCAGGTCACAGGGCAAAACCCTGGGTGGCCTGGCCCTCACCTGCCCCTGCAACTCCTCTCCCTTCGTCACCCTCGGCCTCTGGGGGCTGCTCCACTCCTGGGCTCAGCCCAGGCTCTGAACTGATGGGTCCACCCAGTCCTCCAGGACCCCGCTCCATGTTCCCCACCTGAGGCCTTTTCCTCACTGCCTGGAGCAACAAATGGTCAGCTCTCAAATGTGGGCCAGGATCGTTCCCCAGAGCCCCAGGCCCGGGCACAGTGCCAGATACACAGCAGGCACTGAATAAGCAAGGAAGGTGGCCTGTGGCGGGGACATGGAGAACTGCTCATCCGGGTTCAACCTCTCCACTGCTGCAGTGGAAATGGCCCAAGTTCCAAACACAGAAGCGGGAAGACAGCAGCGCATGGCTGGATCAGGGCAAGAGGCAGGCAGCAGGTGCTAGCCAGGAGGGCCAGCCTGAGAGAGCCCCCAGAATGACAGGGCACCGGGAAGCACCCGAGGCCAGGCATGAGTCGCAGGCCCCTTTCTCTCCGACCTTAGCCTTAGCCCGCTGCCCCTTCGCTGCCACGAAGAACTGGCAGAGGGTGAACAAAATTCCTCTGTGGAGACCCACTGGTCAGGTGCTGGGGGCTGGAGTTCTCCTCTTGGGGGCTGGATGGGGCAGCGGGGTGGTGGGGGTGCTCTATGTTCTCAGTAAGCCTTAGTGTCTGTAGCAACAGCACCCCCAGACCACTGCAGGGTTGCCCTGGTACCTGTGACTGTGTCAACTCCCCCTCTACCCCCAACACACATACAAACCCAGCGGGTAAAGAAAAGCAGCAAAGGGGTCCTGGTGGGTCAGGGCGAGTTTCTGGGCTCTGCTACAGGCAGCCAGACTCAGCCACCAGCTCTCCCTGCTGGGTCCTACCTTGCTTTAAGCCAGGCACACGGAGAAACGAGACATGAGCCAAGGATGGCAGCAGACAATGGTTCTGGACTAGAGTCTGCCACCACACCCTTGCCTGTTCCACCAACCCCCGACCCCCACCTTGCCTGCTGCCCTTGTCCTCCCTGACCAGAAAGCAGGTGGGCCCCAGCCCTGAGGGGAAGCCCAAGCCCATATGAATAGAGATGATTTCAGCGCAGGGTCTCTGCATTTTAGAAAGCTGCAGGCCCCAGCTTCATTCAATCCACGGGGATGGGCACTCCCTCTTCAGGGTATGTTGGTGGGAGCACACCAGTGACTCTTGCAGTTACCTTCCACAACAGAGCGGGAAAGGAGAAAAAAACCCAACAAAATCCTAAGGTCACACTCTAGTGGTTTCTGGACACAATGTTTCCAGGAGAGCATCTCTGAAACTTCCCCACTTGCAGCGGGTGTCCGGACAGTCCAACTAGCCAGGGCACGGAGTGGGAAGCAAGGAGGGGGTAAAAAAAAACTCAAAAAAAGAGCCCTGCTGGGACAGTAGAAATCTAGGGTTGGCTGTCAGCCAGGAAAATTGGTCAAGCGCTTGGATTTGAACTGAGATTTGGCAACGGGAGGGACCTCTAGGTTCCCCTCTCACAAGAGGGGGTGGGACGGGCACCCGTTGGAGCCCGATTCCCAGCATCCTTGGCAACATCCTTGAGATTTCCAGATTTCCTCCCCACCCCCAAGCCCCGCTACCAGGGGCGGCCAGCGGCGGGGGTGGGGAGGGATCAGGGAACCGAAGGGGAGTCGAGAACCCGGGTCCCCCCTGGCTCACGCTCCCTAGAGGCCTCGCGGGGTCCCCGCCGTCCCCGCCCCCGCCCCCGCCCGGGCGCTCACCTCGCGCGCCGAGCGCAGCTGCTGGCGCAGCGCGTCCTTGCAGCCGTAGGGGCCGCCGGCGCCCGCGCCGCGGGGCTGGAAGTGCGCGTGGACACGCGTGGCGCCGCGGTAGGCGCCCTGGTAGAAGGCGGGCCAGCCGAGCTCCAGCGGCGGCGGCTCCACGTCCGACAGGTCGGGGAAGTAGGTGCCGGACGAGCAGTCGTGCGAGGAGCCGAACGAGTCCTCGGCGCCCGCCGCCGCCGCGGCCGCGCCGTCCTGGCCGGGCCGCTGGGCAGCGCGCAGGATGGTCCGCACCTCGTCGGGGTTCAGGAAGCGGCTTAGGCGCTCGCGCCGCAGGAAGGCGGCGAAGGCGTCGGCGCCGCCCGCCAGCAGCTCCTCCAGCGCCAGGCGCTGCGCCTCGCTGTACAGCTCGGCCGGGTTGGGCGGCCCGCACGGCGACAGGCAGGCGGCGGGCAGGTCGTCCAGGCGCTCGGGGAGCAGGGCCATGGCGGGGCGGCGGTGGCGGCGCGGCGCGGACTCGGGCTCGACGGCTGCCCCGGCCCTGCGCGCCGCCTTATAAGCGCCTTTGAATCGGCCCGGCCCGCGCTCCGCCTCTCCCATTGGCTGCTTGCCCCTAACGGCGCAGCCGGGACGCCGCTACCGCCCCGCCCCCGAGGCCTGCTATTGGTCGAGGCGCCTCCCGGAACCGCCCCTTGCGCTTCCGCATTGGCTGCTGCTTAGCGGCTCCGCCCCGGAGCTGGCTGCGGACTTGCTACGGGAAATTTAAACTTGAAAGATGTGTGTGTCCGACGCCGTCCCCCTTACCGACTCTGGAGGTGGAGACCCAGCTCTTTCCAATTCGGCTGGAGAGGAGAGGGGCATGCCCAGCCTTCATGATTGGCTGTGCGGTTCCCGGTCGCCGGTCGCAACACTGGCAGGGAGAGTTCCAGAGCCTGCATCCAGCCCCCGGCGCGAGCACGTCCCCTGCCGGCCAGCACGCAGAGTGCGGCCTTAAATGGGCAAACCAGGAGAGGCCATTCCGCCCCCAGGGCGCGTGGACCAGTGCACTGATTGCTCCTGCGCTCTCAGAGGGGCCTGTGGCCTGTCATTCCAGGCCACCTTTATCCCCTGCTTTCCGGTCCGTCAAAATCGTGATTATGCTCTCAGGTGGGTTTTGCTCCGTTTCTGCAAAACCCCCAAATCCTGGTGAAAACCCCCCTTTTCCACCTATTTCCATCTGCACCGGGGAAGCTGTACAAAAAGGAAAATGCAGCCCCGCTGTCTAGCTGGTTGTGCTTTTTTTTTTTCTTTTTCTTTTTGAATCACACCCGGCATTGCACAGGGGTTACTTCTGGCTCTGCACTCAGGAATAACCCCTGGCGGTGTTCAGCATCAGCATATGAGATGCTGGGAATCAAACCTGGGTCAACCGTGTGAAAGGCAAATGCCCTACCCACTGTGTTATTGCTCCAGCCCTGGTTCTGCTTTAAACCCAGGATGCTGAACCCATAATGTTACCCTGCTAGTCTCTGAATCTTCTGGACTCGTGGTTCCATTTCCCTCCCATTCTTTGGAACCGTGTTTGTGAGTTTCAGAAGAAAAGCACCTGGGGGACAAGAGGGACTCGAGTTTTCTGTGGCCGAGAGCTGTTCCCCTGGCCAGTCCACGGCAACAGACGGAAAAGGACCCCGGGAACGGAGAAACAGGACCTGGGCCCCAGGCTGGTAGTCAGTTTATTTCTCTCTCCTCCCCAACATAGTCCGATCTCTCCCTTATAGCACAATCGTAGTAGTAGTTTTGGTTGTGGTCCCAGTAACCATAGTTTCATCATCCTCATCTCCTCATAGTCCTCCTAGTTTTCATCTAGTTGTCATAGTTCATCTAGTCTTCGTCTTTTTTTTTAATCTTCCTAACAGCCTCCACTCTCACCTTACAGCATAGGTAAATAGAAATTGTGAAGGTGGGGGTACACATAGGTGGGGTCAATCATTGTCTTAACACAAACAGATTAAAGCCACTCCTTCAGGGGAAATTCTAGGAGATTAACTCAAGGACAAAAATCTCATCTGGGGGTTCAGCATTCTAGATTACTAGATCTGCTCAAGGGCCGGATTGCATCTAGAGTGTATTGCTTTCTATTTTCCTCAGTAATCCATTTAATCATAGTAAATTTACTTCTTATAATATTTCTAGTCATTTTGTATGAACATAGTAAGAGATATATTAAGCTTAAAGGTTGACTCTTCCTAGGAACATCTCACTATATATATCCCAAACCACAGTCCTCAGGCCAGATTAGTCTTTCCTAATCCCAGCAGGGTTCTTATTCAGTTACTTCTTTTGGGATCATGTGTTCCATGACCGTGCTGTTATTATACTTCTTATGGCACTTAGCTTGTCCCCTTTCTATACCAAGCTTACAGCTTACCCTGGGTCCATTCAGTCCCTTCATCGGGACTTTGCTCTTTTTTTTTTTTTTTTGCATTTTTGGGTCACATCCGGCAATGCACAGGAGTTACTTCTAGTTCATACACTCAGGAATTACTCCTGGCGGTGCACGGGGGACCATATGGGATGCTGGGAATTGGACCTGGGTCGGCCGTGTGCAAGGCAAAGGCCGTGTTCTGTTTCTCCAGCCCCGGGACTTTCCTTTTGTGGTTGTTAGGAAGTAAGGGCAACTGAGGCTTAAGTCAGGTAAATATGATGAATGCCCAGGAGTAAATATTATTTTGGAATCAATTAACTCCTCTTCCTATGTCTATACAAAAAGGACCTTGCTAAACCATGCAAGTGACATAAAGGAAAGAGAAAATCGATATAGGATTATTAGTGCTTGATGGAATTGGGTGTACCTCAGGGGCACTGTTGTGGGAGTAACTCAATAAACCTAAGCTCCCTGCAGGAGGAACAAGGACAACCCAATGTTATCCAACATGTGTCCAAACAAATCCAGCGCCTTCCTCTGATGCTCTGTCAGAACCTACTATTACAGTTCATTGTCACTTCTGCCCTGCTGAATCCAATCTATTTTTAGATCTCACTCTATCTGTGTCCATGAGAAAGCATAGTAGGGCTGTAAAGTACTTCCCGTAAGAGATTACCATTGTTATTCAGAATCCCATGCATGATGCCCACAGCTGCAAGCACACCCACTGCCTCGCACCCTCCTCTCCTTATCAGGCCCTCTCCCCTGCCTTCCTGGGGAAGATTCCCAAGCCCAAGTGTGAGCACTTCCTTGTGAGGTAGAAAGTGAGAATAACCAGAGGCTCACCTGCGGCATTATTGAAACAGTGTGGGGGTCCTATGTAGTCATTGACTTCCCAGGCTAAATCCCATGAGAAAGACTGGGGTGGGGATGGGATGACAGGCCAGGTCATTGGACCCCAAATACAGAAGAGAAGACAGGGCCAATATTTCAGCAACAGTACATCATTGTACCAATCGAGGGTTTTGTTTGTTTGTTTTTTGTTGTGGGGGGGGAGGTTTGCAGATGGGGGGCACACCCAACAGTGTTCAGGGTTAGTCCTGGCTCTGCCTTCAGGAATTACTCCTGGTGGGGCTCAGGGAACCATATGGGTTGCTGGGGATCAAACCCAGGCCTGCTGCCTTCAAGGCAAGCCCCTCCTCACTGTACTATCTCTCTGGCCCCATCTTTGGAAGCATGAAAGAAATCTGTGCGGAGAAGAACTACGTGTTAACTCCAGAGGGATCATTTGGCAGTGTGGTGCTTCTTCCTGTCCGCCCGTCTTCTCTCCACTAACCAGACTGCAGGATCCCTGTGGTCCCCTGCCTGAACTCTCAGAACTCCCTCTTCGTTTAGGGGCCCCTGGGGAAGCGGGGGACCAGCCCATGCACCCTCCTGCACCTTCCATCCCAGACTCGAATTCTCAGTCCTCATTCGGAATTCAAATCGGCAAAGCTTGGGGGAATTTCCCGGCAATGACCACGACCACACTAACAGATGTTATTAAAAGGAATTTAATAATCTTAATTAAAAACTCTTTAACAGCAAATTCCGTCACTGGCCTTGGCGGCTGGAAGCAACTCCAGGGGCTTGCCCCTTTGGGTTCGGCGGCGCTGCGGTCTTGACTAGGAGTCCACCGCAGGTGCATGGCGAGGAGCTACCTAGGAGTTACCTTAATACAATATCAAAGATCCGCGAGGATTTCTTTTTTTAAAAAAGTTTTAAATATATTAGACTCTCTTGATTGCCATTTTTTACACAAAGCTGCTGATACAGTATACAGTTTTTTAACTTTTTTTTTTTCACATAAAATACAGTTTTCATAAGTGTTCTCTGTACATCAGTGGCTTCTGATCTGGGGGATTATTGCGGGGGGCTGGGGGTCTGCGGGCTTTTCCAGTGTGTGCAGAGTCAGGCCCCCACTGTGGCACTTATAATGCCTGTGGGAAGCAGGTCTTCTGGAAAACGGACTTAGGTGGATGCCAGGGCTACAGTCTCTGCAGAGAGGTCCCAACTCTAACATTCCACCCACCACCGCAGTCTCGTTCTTATGTGCCCCGGGGGAGGGATGCCACTCCGAGCGTTACAGCACAAGATCAGCATTGTCCTCTGAGACTCCTCTAAGGGGTACCCTTCCGGAAAGTGCCCCAGTCTCCTGCTCTGGGAAAGGAAGCGGGAAGAGAGCCCCAGATCAGAGGAAATTAGTGCCAAGAACCAACATGGTTTCGAATTCCCAAGCCAGCAAACTGGGGAGAGGTGGGGTGGGCAGGGGCGTGCAAGGGTGGAAGTCAGAGAAACACCCTCGTTCAGTTCTCTCAGCCCCTGGAAACAGGTCACAGGCTGCAAAGCTGTTTCCCGACGCTGCATGTCGGACTGGGAATGACATCCTGTGCCTTTTCAGGAGACCTGGGCCTCGGGTTCATTCCATTCCCTGAGCAATACCGGCCAGGAATTCCCCGTCAGGTGACAGCCACCGATTCTTCAGTTGTTTGGGGGGTGCAGAGCAGGAGTCAGGCCAGTGCTCCCAGGAGCCGGGGAGAAGGGTGGGCACATCTGCCGGGGGGGAGGGGTGGAGGGGCAGACTGTGCCCAGCCCCAGGGCTCAGCAGGAGCAGGGCCTCTGGGGGAGCGTGTCAGCTTCCTCCCCAGCTCCCTGAGTACCAGAGCAAGGCCGGCCTCCGAGGAAAGGCTCCCGTGCTGGAGGGGACACTCCTTTGCTCCCACTGGTCAGTGGTGGGGCAGGGGGGCTGCAGAATAAAGGAGCAAGACTGGACGGATTGAAGAACCTGAGTTGCATTTGGCAGCAAAGTCTAGACTCCTTGGCCTTCTGGACACTGGCCTCAGATTGCTCTGCTAAAGTGTCCCAGAGTGGCTAGCCCGAGTGCACCCCTCCCTCTCCCCCACCAAAAAAAAATAAAGTTCCCTCCCCACAGAATTGGGGTGTATCTGCCTGGAACCGAAGACCCAGCATCTCCAATTAGTGGCAAACAGGATCCATTTGGGGTGGCCTTGATAGCTGTTCTAAGCTGAAGAATTCGTGGCATTGGGGTTCTAGACGCTGAGAAGCCAGGGGGGAGGGGGCTGCTGTGCCTGACCGTGCCCCGCACACACACCCCAGTGGCCTGTTCTGGGTGAACTAAAGAGGGTGGCTGATCTCCGAGGCTGCCCAGGTCAAAACTGGTCCTGAGCTGCTCTGCTCTCTACTTTGTTCCCTCTCAAGCCCTAGAACCTGGAGATTCTGCAGTGCTGCAACTGCTCCGTCAATGACCTGAGTGAGCCAGCGGATGGTCCCACCCGGATCTGTCCCTTGACATACACGTGACCCACAGGGATGGCTTACCCCTGACCGATGCCGAGACTGCAGGCAGCTCTGGTCATGGAACCAGTTGGGATTCCAGCATCCTGGGTGAAGGAATGCCCCAGGGAGAAGGAGGGCATGACCAGACGGCTCAGAGGGGACAAGAATGGCTTCAGAGTCCTACTCCAGGGCATACAGGGACATCCTGGTGCAGCTCTCTCTCTCTTTCTCTCTCTCTGGACTGTGCAGCTGTTTCCCTCAGGGGTCCCGAGTGTGCAGGGAAGTCAGCTCGGGAGGAATTTCGGTGTCGGTCTGGTGCAAGCCTGTCTGAAAGCCACGGAAGGCATGCATGTGTTGACTCCTCCTGCCTGGCACTGCCCACAGGCTACAGCGGTGGACATGCTGCTCCAGGCGCAGGGCAGGTCCATGCCATGGGAATCATCTGCAGCCTCTGAACTGCCCATGACTCAGAGTCGGAGCAGGATGGCCTGGGGTTCTGATCCTCCCTATATCCACAGACCACCCAGGAAAGAGTGATGTCACTGACCCTTTTTGTGGGCAAACATTGGGATCCTTGGGATCCAGCCCCCTCGTAGGCTGGTGCCTGGGGACTGCAGTGTGGGACTCAGACTGACCAATAGCAAGGCCCATTACTGGGGTTGGGCACAAGGGTACTGCCCTAGCCCCCGGGCCTGTGTGCCCATCTGGGCTCCTGTGTCATAGACTCAGAAAGAAGAGGGCAAAGGGGAATACAAACTTGTCCCCCAAATCTTAGAAGATGGACCAAAGGTGGGGAACTTGCCAAGCCCTGAGGAGGTAGTTTTTAGACAAATAAAAGGCAGACCATGCAGGGAACAAACTTCATTACCCCAGTGGGGTTGGCTGAGCCAGTGGATGGCACCCAATTCAGGGGGAGAACGGAAACACCACCGAGAGGAGGTGGGCAGCCTGCCCCCGCTGTGGTCCTCTTTTTTAGCAACATGGAGATGGAGACTCTGGAACTGCAGGGCTGAGGGGAGACGCAACTCCAGCCCTCCTTCTACCCCTGAATGCAGAGTAGGGGGTGTTGGCCATGGGACCAAGGGTACCTTGAATTTGTGACCAGGGGCATCACTATTTTAGCAGGAACAGGCTTGGAGCCCCAATACCAGGCAGGCGTTCACCAGAACCAACTGGCAAACTTGTCTCACCAGAGCACCCCAAAAAGGCCATGCCAAGCCCCTGGTCCTGGCTCACGCCGATGAGGGGCAGCTGAGCCCAGCAGGACGCTAACAGTCTGCAGTCAGAGATCAGCCAGGCTCACGGCCCCCTCGGGCTACTCAACAAGCTGGCTGGGATACACAGGAGCTCTCCCCTCGCACGGGGAAGGCCTGTCCGACAGCTGCATCTGTCCAGCACCCATCAGGAAAGCCGGGTGGTCGAGAAACGATCCAGGAAAGCAAACCCAGGTACCTGCCCCCAAGAGCTGAGTGGCCTGAAAGAACTTTCCTCTCGACCGCTCCTGGGAAATGTTACCTCAGACCGTCTCCCGTCCCAAGAGCAAAAAGTCTGATAGGGATGAAGCCATATTCGCTGAATTTCCCACCTGGGCCCCTGATGGTCACACAGCTACTTCCTGGCACGGGTCGAGATGGGAGGGAACAGGCCTCCTCTTACCCGGCCCACACCTCCTTCTGAACACAGAGAACATCCAGCGCTGGCCAGACTCTGTGGGGTAGTGCGGGGTGGGGTGGGGTGGGGGTCTGAATCTCAGCCTAGCAGGCCCCTCCCCTGCTAAAGCCACGGTGGCAGTGGTGGTGATCATTCCCTTGGAATCTCCATCCTTTGGGGAACAGCCCTGCCTGCTTCCCATGAGCCCCACAGCACCACTCCTACCCACGCTGATGCAGCATGTGTGTGTGTGTGTATGTCTGTGTGTGTGTGTCTGTGTGTGTGTGCAGGTGTGTGGACTGGGATGTGCCATGCGAGTACTGGCCCAGAGAAGCCGTTCCCAAGAAAAATGGGCTCCCCACCTGCCCCCCTCCCCAGTCGGACAGCCAGCGGGGAGCAGCCGGAAGCCAGAGCAGCCAGGTTCTTGGTCCCTGGCGGACAATGCAGCAGGAAGCAGAGGGGGCGGGGCGGATGCCAGGGCGGCCATGGGCAGGCGAGGTGGACTCTGCATTCCTTGGGAGAGCCGAGCCCACCTCCTACCCCTGCTGCCCGGCGCCAACTCCCCAGGGGGAGCTGCCCAGCTTCCAGGGACCGCTCCCCTCCCCGAACCCCCCAAGCCTCTCTCTCCTCCTCCGTCACACAGAGACTAGGAGATCCGGCAGCAGCCATGGACCTTCTCCTCCATCTCCTCCATGGGCGCCTTGAACTTCAGGAGCGGGGGGTCGCCGCTGGTGACCGTGTAATACACCGAGCTGCTATTGCTGCTGTACGGGGAAGTTCTGCCTCCGATCAAGGGGGCCTTGCCTTCGCCGCTGCTCTCGCCCGTCCGGGCCATGCTGCCGCCCAGGTGGGTACTCAGGAAGGGATGGCTGAGTAGTTTGGCTGCCGCCCGCTGCCGCTTCAGTTCCAGAAGCGTCTGGGGGCTCTGTTCCTTGTAGCCAGTCCAGGGAGGGGTGGCCTCGGCCACGCCGGGGTTGACGTAGGCCACGTTGTAATCGGGCATCTCGTGTACCTTCCAGACATCTCCGTTGGACAGCGCGTATGGGTAGGTGCTGACCGGAGCCCGGAGGCCGTTCTCGACAGGCATGTCCATGTCACTTCGGGGGATCTTGGTGGGAAACTCAGAGAGCAGCACGGGCTTCTCCAGCCTGGGGTTCTGGGACCGAGAGGGATTTCATTAGCAGCCCGCTGGACGCCCTGCCGCCTGATGAAGGTGCTCTTCCGGGAACCTGTCCTCCGCTTAGCAACTCAGCAGGGAGCTGGCCACCCTGCCCCACACCCATTCCCTGTTCTAGGGGCTGGACTGAGAGCCCAGCCTGGGCCACCAACACTGTCAATAGAACAGCTGGTTCAGGAGCGGGTCTTGGCTGCAGTGGGCTCAGAGAGGGGCAAAAGGGGAGAGAGATAAAGAGAGAGGAAGAGAGGGAGGGAGGGAGAGAGAGAGAGAAGAGAGAGAGAGAGAGAGAGAGAGAGAGAGAGAGAGCGCGCAACTCCTAAAGAAACTCTTTGAGGGACTGGAGTGATAGTACAGCAGGTACGGTGTTTGACTTGCATAAGGCCGACCCAGGTTTGATCCTGAGCATCCCTTGAGCACTGCCAGGAGTAATTCCTGAGTGCAGAGCCAGGATTAACCCCTGTGCATCGCCAGGTATGACCCAAAAAGCAAAAAAAAAAAAAAAAAAAAAAAAAAAACCCCAAAAAAATAAAAAACACTTTGAGTCCCTGGGTGCAGAAGGACACGACTTTTGGAGAGATAAATCAATTTAATTCATTATTTTAATTAATTTTTTGTTGATGGGTATACCCAGCTGTGCTCAGAGCTTACTCCTGGTATTTGAGTAAGTGCTCAGGGATCAACCCTGGCAGGACTCAGGGGACCATCTGTCATGCCAGTAATTGCACCTGGGTCAGCCGTCTGCAAGGCAAGTGCCTACCCACTGTGTTATTTCTCTGGCCCGGGGTTTAGCCTGCAGCTAGGCTGATACCACACATATAGACTGATTCTTCTTTTTCATTTGTTTTTGTTTCTATTGGGGGGATACGCCTAGAAATGTCCAGGGCTTACTCCTGGCTCTGTGCTCAGGGATCACTCCTGGTGGGGCTCAGAGGAACCATATGGGGTCCCAGGGGTTGAACCCGGATCTGCATGTGCAAGGCAAGTGCCCTCCCCGCTGTACTATCTCTCTGGCCCGCGAGTCACTATTTGAAGAGAAGATCCCTAATCCTGGGGAAGCAGTTCTACCGAAAGCAGGTCCCAAAGTCCCCTCATAGCCAGATCTCCAGGGCAGCCTTGGTCGGGCGGGGCGAAGTCTCCCTGCTACAGTGGTCCCCAACTTGATGGCACTGGAGTTCACTGAGAGCTGATCTGAACACAGATTTTGGGTCCCCCACGCCTGCCTGTGGAAGGTTTTTTTTAATTCAGTGATTCTCGGGTGGCAACTGAGGACCTGCTTCTCTAACAGAGTCCCAAGAGATGTGGGGGCTGCCAGCCAGGGCCCACATTCCAGGAACCCCTTCCTTGGAGACTGGCACAGCCTGACACTAAAGCCCAGGCAGGGGTGGGTCGAAGAGGGGGCAGTGAACGCTGTCTCTGTGTCGGAGCAAGATGACGGGGACAGCAGAGCACTGTCCCTGGGGACCCGGCCTCTCCTTCTGCCCAGTGATTCTGCCCTGGCTCCAAACTGAGCTCTTCTTGGGGAAGAGGGTCCCCCACCCTGCCACCAGTTCATGTCCACCCTGTGCTGCTGCGTGCGACCTTATTTCGAAACACGTTTTTCACAGATGTGCTCAGAGAAACAAAGAGAAGTTACAGCGGGTCAGGGGTGAGGGGTGGTGGGGGCCTCATGTGAAGAAGAAGGCATGTGATGGCAGAGGGAGAGAAGGGGGTGGGCTGGCCCAAGCCCAGCGATTCCTGAGGCCCCTGGGAGTGGGAGAGAGATGCAAGAGAGAAGGCTTCACCACCCCCAGAGAGCACCAACCCTGTGGGCAGCTGGATGCTGAGACTTTGGGTGTGTGCTGCTAGCAGGCAGACCTGCAGTGCTCAGCCATCAGCCTGGCAAAATCAACTACGGCAGCCTAAGAGGCCCATATGGCAGCCCCGGGATAGCAGCTGAATGCCGGGTCCACTGGCTTCTCTTCTTTTCTTTTTTTTTGCTTTTTGGGTCACACCCGACAATTCTCAGGGGTTACTCCTGGCTCTGCACTCAGGAATTACTCCTGGCGGTACTCAGGGGACGATAGGGGATGCTGGGAATCGAACCTGGGTCGGTCACATGCAAGGCAAAGGCCCTACCTGCTTACTATTGCTCCAGCCCCCACTGGCTTCTTTAGGGGGCCGCCCTGCTCCAGTTTTCAAATACAATTCTCAGCATCTTGCTCTACATCCCGCCTGCCGAAAGTTTTCACTCCCTTAGATCCTTGATGGGGAACCTGGGCACCTCCCCCTGGGCGACCTGGACTAGAGACCCTGGGGCAGAAGCAGGTCCACGGTGGCCACTGGTGACCCATGAGCCGAAGCTCCTCATCTTCCTCCAACAGGAAGGGCCCAGGTCAGGCGGGGGCGCCGGCGCCACTCACCGGGTCTTTATTCTCCTGGTCTGTCCGGGTCTCCCTGAGGTCCCCGTTGTAGGTGGAGGTCCGCTGGTCCTCCGTGGCGCTCCGCTGCTGCCACAGGATGGCCTCTCCCTCGTACTCCTTCCTGTACAGGTTGGTCCTGTCCGACAGGCTGGCTCGACGCACCACCTTCCTGAGGGGACAGAGGGGGTGCTGGGAGGCGGAGCCCAGGCACCGCGGGCAACACCAGGCACCGGCTGGCCCTGCCGCTGACTCACCCGCGGCTGCCCGCACTGGACGTCCGCCGGCTCAGAGACGACTTGTGCCTCAGCTGGGACTTCATGATCACGTCATGCTTGTGTTTCAGCTCCAGCAGCAGGACTTTGAACTCCTCTTCCTCACACAGGTCTAAAGGGATGGGGGATTCGTTGGCTCCTCTGCCAATGAAGGGGGAGCAGGGCCGGAGCCCGTGACCCTAAGGGCCTCCCCTAGACGGGCAGAGCTGCCAGCCAAACCACTGAAAACGTCCCGCATCTCTTGGGAACATGAGAGGAGAAAACAATGTCAACCTTATTTCCTGGGGCACATCCCACTCCTTAGAGGGGAATACGAAGGAAATCCCAGGTGCCGGTCCCAACCCCCAGATGCCTGGGTGCCAGCTGTAACTCAAGGACTCATGGAAATTCCAAGGGGGATGTCAACACTCCACTAACACAAAAAAGATCAAGAGAAGGAAGCCGGTACCCAAGGCAGCCTGTGTCCCTACCCAACCACTCCATCTAATTGATCAACCTATTCATCATCATCAATAGATTTATTCTCTCCTATCTTCCTATTAACCACCATCCACCCTCCATCCATTCAACCGCCCACCCACTTCCCTAGAGTAACCAACCATTCATCCACTTGCCTACATCCATCATTTCACTCACTCTTCCATCTATCAATCTACACACCAGTCCACCATCTATGCAAACATAATTCATCTAGACATCCCTCAACCCATCAAAAAAAATGAATGAGAGCCTCTGTGTACACAGGTTTGTTGGACTTACCTATTGGCATCTCATCCATGGATGTTCTAGCACTGAGGCTGGCCCCGTGGGACACTAACAGCTCCGCCATCTGCATCTGAAACACAGGAAACAGCCAAGACCCCCCCGCCTTGGAGCTCAGGCAGCCTGTGAGGGAGTGAACCACCTGTACTCTCTTAAGAAGTGGTCTTAAGGAACAATGTGTCTTATGGGAAAGTGAAAATGACAATGAGATGTCAATCTCACACTAGTGAGAAGAGCATATAAAAAAAGACCCAAAACCACCCATGATCTGAAACTCCCGGCTGTATAGACAGAGGATGGACAAAATTGTTGTAGTAGGACTACAGAGGTGGTATGGGGAGGACTGAAATCATTTGCCTTGCATGTGGTTGACCACGGTTTGATTTCCAGCACCACGTGGTACCCTGAGCATGACCGGGAGCAACTCTGAAGCAGAGTCAGGAGTACAACCCTGAGCACCGAAAGGCTAGTGTGGCCCAGACCCCCTCTACATAACAATGCCGTGTCATATATACAGAATGGAACACCTTACAGCTGTGAGAAAAGATGAAATCTTGCCGTTTGTTGCAACTTGGATGGAATTGGAGGGTACCATGTTAAACAAAATCAATCAGAGAAAGAAAGGAAAAGAAAAAAACAGATGACCTTACTCCTCTGTGGCATACAGAGAAACAAAACCAGGGAATAGAGAACATCAAATCATTGATTAAACCCCTGGACTTTGACTATAAAACTGGAGTTACCAAGGACTAGGAAGCATGGGTTGTTGTGGGGGGGGGGAGAAAAAAGGGAGATGGACTAACATTGACACAGGGACAGTGGAGAAGGGTCTCGGGCTCTTTGGAGGTGAAGCTCCAATAACATTTTTGTTGGGGGGGGGGACCTGGAGAAGCTCAGGGCTTAATCCTGGCTCTGCACTCAGAGATTACTCCTGGTGGTGCTCAGGGGATCATAGGGAATATCAGGGATCAAACCCAGGTCATCCCCGTGCATGGCAAATGCCCTACCTTCTTGCTATCGCTCTGGCCCAAAGCTCCAATAACTTGGTACATCAAAACCTTAAATGTTAACACTATTATAACCATGTTACCTAAACTACATAAATGAAATGGAAAGAATGTACGTGATCTTAAGAAGAAGAGAAGGGCAATGTGGATTCCTAGGAAAAGGCTTAGCCTCCAGAAGCCAGGAATATCAGCAAACACCACAGGCTCAACTCCTCTGATGCAGAAGAAATCAGCTCAGGAATGCCAGGGTGGACAGGGATCTAAGCAGGCACTAACAGCTGGTTGTTTTTTTGGATTCTGCTTTCATTTTTTTTTTTTTTTGCTTTTTGGGTCACACCTGGCGATGCACAGAGGTTACTCCTGGCTCTGCACTCAGGAGTTACTCCTGGGGGTGCTCAGGGGACCATATGGGATGCTGGGAATCGAACCCGGGTCGGTGTGCAAGGCAAACGACCTACCCGCTGTGCTATAGCTCCAGCCCCTGCTTTCATTTTTTGAGGGTGCAGTTTGGGCCACACCTGGCAGTGCTCAGGAGGATCATGTGAAAGGCAAGTAGCTTAACCCTTGTGCTCTCTCTTCCATCCCTGCTATCAGCTATCAACAAATCCGGGAACCAACAGAGCAACTATTCAACCCAGAAGCATGGGGAAGTTACGCATTTGGCAAATGGGATTGGCTTCTTGCTAGGACACCACTGCCAAAAGTTTCTGGGACCCTACCTCTCTCACATACTTGCCGGAATCAATACCTAAGTAGGTGTCGTGTTCTGTGGCCCACTGGACAGCAGGCTGACCCTGTGCTGGCCTCCCTCACCACTCCGGGAGGGCCTACCTGTCCCCAGAAGGCAGCCGCATGCAGGGGCTCCCAGCCATCCCAGTCCTTCACGTCCACGCGCACCCCGTGGTCCAGGAGGAGCTCAGCGGCCCGCAGGTATCCATTGGCCCCAGCGATGTGTAGCTACGAGAGAGAAAAGAGGTGAGCGTCCCCTCCAGGGTGGGGTGCACCTCTCATCGGCCGCTTCCCCATTGTGTCACAGCTCACTCCTGGGGCCCAAGGCTAGCATGGAACAGGCTAGAGATGCCTGCTCCGTCGCACGGCAGAGGATGGGAAAGCCTGTAAGGGGGGCTTCAAAGGCAAGGCAGAGTGGGGAGCTCTCTCCCCCTGGGCTGGCTCAGAGAGGCCCCGGGGTGCGGGCAGCAGCTTGCACCAACCGGACCCGTGTGCCAGGCCCTGTGGAAAGGGTCTCGGGTCCACAGATGTCCAATGGGGTGACTCGGAAAACACACCCACAGATTCCTCAACACACCTCCCTCCAAAAGATGAAGTTAGTTCCTCTTCCCTTGAGTGTGGGCCGGGACAAGGGATTCTCCTCTAACCAGCAGGACCCTGAAGTGTGTGATTTCCGAGGGGAGGTTATCAGTGCAGCAGCTCTTCTCCAAGGCACTGGGATCAACTGATCTCAGAAGGGGCAGCCACATGCAGTGGGGACCCTCCAAAGGTGAGGCCTGAGGGGGGTGAGGCATGGGGCTGCCAGCCAGACATGACAGTGGGGTCTTGGCTGGGAATGAAAAGGCCTGGCTGGTACATGGAGCATGGCAAGCACAGTGTTACTCCCTAGCATCTCGAGAGAACTTACTATGTCTGTTCTGGGCACCTCCAGGCAGAGCCTTACTGAGTCCTCCCATCAGCCCCGCGAGGGGGAACTCAGTACCCCCACTCCTTTGGGGAGACCTGACCCTGAGTAGCCACGAAGCCCCTGTGGACGTGCCTCTCTGAGGAGGCCCACCGAGTCTGCAGGCACACAAAGGCCTTCAGTCTCCTGACTCGTCTCCATCCCGGAGTGAGGGGTCAAGCAGGCGATCAGGGAGCAGGGTCCCAGTTAACAGAAAAGGGGCTCAGGACAAGAGATAGGGTTGACGTGACAGATTTGAGAGCGAGTCATTGTTCTCTCTCTTGTTTAGTAAAGTCAGTGATGTTGAGAAGGTGTGTCATGGCTAGATAGATGGTGTGTGTGTGTGTGTGTGTGTGTGTGTGTGTGTGTGTTTATGTGTGTGAATGGATGAATGGGGAGGTAGATGGGTGGGTGGGTGAAGAGGGAGTGGCCGGATAGACCAATGGAAGAATGGAATAGTGGGTGGATGGGTGGGTGGGTGGGTGGATGAATGGGTAGGTGCATGGCTGGGCCATTATATGGATAGAAGGGTGAGTGGACAGGTAAATGAATGGATGAAAGGAAGGATGGAGAGACGGATGGATACATGGGTAGACAGATGGATGGCTAGAGGGAGAGATGGAATGATGAGTGGATGAATGGTGACTTATACTTTATGGACCCAGAGGAGAAGCAATTGCAGGAATATCCGGGACAGTCGATGAGCGGTGGGTGAGGAGACACTGAGGCAGGGGATGAACAGGCAAAGCCGGGGGACAAGGCTGTGTAGGAAAATGGGAACCCGGATCCTGAAGGGGAGATGTCATTGGAGGGAGGGGAGCTAATGAGCTCAGGATGGTCACCCAGAGCTTAAGGTAAGCGAGGAATTTGGAGATGGGAGAGGTGTACAGCAGAAACCCCCACGCCTGGCACCCGACACCCAGCCACAGGCGAGTGAGGCTGAGACGGAATCTGCTCACCCTCCGTGTCCCCGGCCCCGTCCCCCGCCGGGCCCAAGCAGGGTTCGAATGGAAGCCAAGGTCGCAGACCAGCCCCCAAATCTAGAGTCTTGACCTCCACCCAATGTGAATCCACTTGGCCCCAGTCGGTCTGGGTTTGGGACCGACAACCCAGTTGGAAGCAGCCCAGCGGAGTTCCTCACCAGTGTGGCGCCCTGGCCATCGATCCAGTCCAGGTCCTGGCCCGCCGCGATCATGCAGTGGATGTCGGAGACCATCTGCTGCTCTGGAGCCGCTCGCATCTCGTTGATTTTATCCTGGGTGATGCCTACAGTGGAGGGGTAGGGTGGAGACTCAGCGCCCACAGGTCCAGTCCCCCGAGGGAGAGGGAAGAGCTGATGGTGGAAGAGGTGAGGCCCCCGCTCCCGGGTCTGCCAGGCAGACGGCACGTCCAGTCCACAGGTGACTGTCTCCCAGGCTGATAGACACCAGACATGGGCCCAACAGAGCCTGGCCTGGCCCAGTTCCCCAGAGGCTCTGCATAGTAGCAGGCACTGTACCCTGTGCCCGTCCCCTGCTGCCTACACCTGCTTAGACACTGCCAATGATGAGCTTCATCTCCTCCTTGAGGGCTGCCTGGATTGTCCTCCTGGCCACCATATCCAATCCCACACGTTTCTACACTGAAATGACTAGATTATAGTCTGTGGACAGACCGAGGCAAATGGAGACTTGGGTATATTGAGGTACAGGGGTCAAGACAGACACCCCACAGCCTGAATCTCTGGCTAATCTGTTCAAGTGTTAGGGAGGATTGAGAGAGTCGGGGAGGCTGAGTGCTTGCTTCCCAGGTAGGAGGCCCCAGTTGGATCCCAGCAAGGCTCAGTCCCCTGAGCACCACCAGGAGCACCCCCTGGGCACAGAGCCAGGAGCGCACCACTGGATATGGCCCAAGGGAAAAACCAAAAAGTCTGACTATTAAGACTGGAGTTGCTTGCATTCATTTGTGGAATATAAAATAACATGAGACTAACATCCAAGGACAGTATAGACAAGGTCCAGGAAGACTGCTCCATGGCTGGAAGCCTGCCTCATGAGCTGGGGGAGAAGACAGCAGGGACGGAGAAGGGAACACTAAGTCAATGATGGTTGGAGGGATCGTTCGGGATGGGAGATGTGTGCTGAAAGTAGACTAAGGACCAAACATGATGGCCTCTCAGTATCTGTATTGCAAACCATAATGCCCCAAAGTAGAGAGTGAGTAAGAGGGAAATTATCTGCCACAGAGGCAGGCGGAGGGGTGGGATGGGTGGGGGAGGGATACTGGGGACATTGGTGGTGGAAAATGCACACTGGTGTAGGGGAGGGTGTTCCATTATTGTATGACTGAAACTCAAAAATGAAAGCTTTGTAACTGTATCTCATGGTGACTCAAAAAAAAGATTGGAGTTGCTGACTTAATAATGAGATATCACAATTTTCATAAATTTTATTTTACTGAAGTATCTGTTTTTAATAATTCCATTAGCCATTCAGTGGCAACAAGCAATATAAGATAAATTATCTTGGGTCTGCTATGGGGGCAGGCTTGAGAGGTGGTTGGGAAAATGGGGACAATAGTCAGGGAAGGTGACAGTGGTGAGAGATTGGGCTGGAATATTGAAAGTTTGTAGCAATGCATCATGAACAACCTTGTAAACCACAGTGTTAAAATAAAGTGGGAGGAAGAAAGATTGGAGTTGTAATCAATAGCAGAGTTTGGTGAAGCCTTGGATTCAATCTCCTGCACTGAGGGGGAAATATACAAATATATAAACAAAATAAAATATATGGCATGTTATCTCAAAAATAAAGAGCTGAAGTATTACTGGAAGCTCTTACAGGATCCAGGAGGAGAGTGGTATGTCCTATAGTGGTATGATCTAATGGACAAAGGTCTATTAGATCAAACTCTTGGAGCAAATGGGGGGAAGATCTCCAAACATGAAAGGAGAGGAAAACGTCAAGTTCATTTTCACTAACCTTGAACTGAAATATAGCACTGCCTCCCATTAGAACGTTGGGAAAGCCCAGAGCAGAGTGAGAAATGCTTGGTCCTGCCACCAGGAGAACCTGGAGGTGCTCTCCTGTCTGTTATCTAATCATTCGTGAATAAAGTCTATTTAACACATTAATAAGTAGCTGGTGGGGGCCTGAAGTGACAGTACAAAGGGTAGGACACTTGCCTTGCACACAGTGGCCCTGGGTTGGATCCCCTGCATCCTGTATGGTTCCCTGAGCACATCAGGACTAATTCCTGAGCAGAGAGTCAGGAGTAACCCCTGAGCATCACCAGGTATGGTATAAAACAAAAAAGTAGCTAGTGGGCCAGGGAGTTGGCACTGGGTAAGGCACAGGCAAGGGCTGCCTCTGACTCTGTCCCAGTAGCATGAGGTAGTTTGAGCATTACTGGGGGCAGTGCTGGAGGCCCAGGCCTGCAGAGTGTGACCCCAATGGTCCCCAGCACTGAGGGCCCAAAGAGCACTTCATCCTCAGGGCCTCAAATGGAACTACCAGCATGGCTGGCCAAGAATTACTGGGAATGGCCCCAAGCCCCTTTCAGCATTGCTTGGGAGCCCCCCCCCCCCCCAAATAAAGGTGTTTGATTTTTTTTTTTCATTTTTTGTTTGTGGGTGGACTGTACTCAGCAGTGCTCAGGGCTTACTCCCGACTCTGCTCAGGGATCACTCCCGGCAGGACTCAGGGGACCATCTGCAGTGTTGGGGATGCCCCAGGCCAGCTGTGTGCAAGGCAAGCACCCTGACCACTCTACTCTCTCCAGTCCAATGACCCCAGGCTTTTGATCTCTGCAGGTAAGTAACTCCATGAGCTGGACCAGGCTGGCACAGGAACTCAGAAGCTGTGTGGAAGGCGGGTAGGCAGCACTGGGTGCCAGGGGGACAGACCCAACTTGGTGGACCCTGTGGCTACCCAGGAGGAATGCTGGGGTACAGCCCCGCAGAACAGGAGGCTGGGGGGGAGAAGGTGGCCTGGCCTGGACCATTGTTTTCTGAGGAGGAGGCACTTCAGAATTCTGGTGGGGAGCCGGCCGGGGTAGGGGTGCGGGCAGGGCCCCCTGCTTGCTACATTTGTTTCCTCTGTGAGGCTCATTTGTGAGCTGAGAACAGCCCACGGCTTGTTTATCTGGGCCCTGGCACCGTGCCTGGCACCAAGCGGGCACTGGCGCATGCTCTTGACTTTTGTATTATTCCCCCAGTGGGCCTATGTCTTTCGTGTGTGTGTTTACCGAGCGAGACTGTCGCAGCTGACGGGGAGGGGACCCGGCCAGCGGAGGCTGCCCACGTGTGTGGGCGAGAACAATGCCTTCCTTCTGCGCCCCCCACATGCAGACACGTGTACACGCTTGGCCTTGAGGGGGGTCACACCCGCCGTGTTCAGGGGCTGGTCTGAGCTCTGTGCCCCCTAGGGTGTGCAGGGGACCCCAGAAGGTGCAGGGGATTGAAACAGGGACAGCGAGCAGCAGGTGCGGGCATTAACCCCTGTACTGACCCTCAGCCAACGTCATCCACTGGCCCAGGCCCTGCTGAGCGCTGAGTGCACAGCAGCCAGGCACCCGGCTCGCCAACGGCTTCATCCCTGCTCCCGCACCGCGCGGGTCCCACCCATTCCCTCGTGCCACCCGCCTTACCCTGGTAGGCCATGCACGTCTCGATGACGTCCAGGGTGGGCTCGTCCTCGCACAGGTCATAGGGCATGTTCCCGTCGGAGTTCACGGCCAGCAGGTCGGCGCCGCTGCAGAGAGAGGCTGGTGTGAGGCCAGGTGGAAATGGAGGGGTTCCGCTGTGCACCCCCACCTAGGGCAGTGGTTTGGGGAGGGGGCAGGAGAGGAGCAGTCTCTGCAGACCCCGGGCAGGCAGGCATGGAGGCTACACGTGTCGAATGACACCCGCCTGATCTAAGCCCCCTGTGCACATCATCTTACTTAATCCTCATCACAGTCTTCTGGGCAGGGGGTGGGAGGGTACCACCTGCTCAAGGGGTGGAAATAAAAGTCACAGAGCTGGCAGGGGAAGTGGGGGAAGGTCAAGACTCAAGCTAGAGGGCTGGAGCGACAGCACAGCGAGTAGGGCATTTGCCTTGCACACGGCCAACCCAGGTTCGATTCCCAGCATCCCATGTGGTCACCTTTGCACCGCCAGGAGTAATTCCTGAGTGCAGAGCCAGGAGTAACCCCTGTGCATCAGCTGGGTGTGACCCAGAAAGAAAGAAAAAAAAAAGACTCAAACCAGGAAGCTGGAGTGATAGCCTTGCACACAGCTGACTTGGGTTCAATCTCAGGCATCCCAGAGGGTCCCCTGAGCCCCACCAGGAGTGATCCCTGAGCAAAAAGCTCAAGGAGTAAGCCCAGGGCACTGCTGAGTGTGGCCTAATAACAGAAAAAAAATGAAACAGAAAGATTCCAGCCTGGGTCTCCCTTAAGCCACCCTGTGCTCCGATTCAGTCTCTGCGGGTGGCAAGGAGCACCCTTGTCTGAGCACTCTTGTTTGTCCTCTACTTCCTGTCCGAGTCCCAGCCCAAAAGGCTGATGGCCTGAGCAGGGCGGACTGCGGGAGCTCCCCGGCAGACTCTGTCCTTTGAGTCAGCGGCCCCCACACTGGCAGCAAATCACCCGAGAACCCTTGAACTAAAACGCAGCTTCCACCCTTCAACTCCAGACCTCCCATCAGTCCCAGGGGCCAGGGCCAGAGTGACGGCTTCTAGCTAACCCCGCACACCCCATGATCCAACACAGATCAGCACGGGCACCCGCTGAACTGGGTTAGCAGCGTGTCCTCTTCCTCTCCGCGCCATCACAGACCGGGCTGCGGCCATCAGATGACTCTAGTAGACAGGGCCACCCTTAGGTGCTCACCAGAGGTGTGGGCATGTGCCACTGGGCAATCCTTGAGCCCGACAGTCCTCCACTGCCAGCTCCTCTGTGTCCTTAGGGAGGAGAATCCACCTCTCAGGCCAGGCCAGCCGGACCATCACCTTCTTCTCTCCCATCCTACCTCCTTCACCGTCAAAGGTTCCTGCTCTTGGCCCCTCTGCTGGTGTCCCTGCACTAAGATACAGGCCTTGGCCCCCAGAAGCCCAGCCCACAGCCTATCTCAGCTCCTTTCCTGCCTGAGTTCTGATTTTGCAACTGAGTGGCAAGTGCCTGCCCTAGGTCTAGGGCATGAGAAAGACAAGGATGGAGCCCCGAGATGGGGAGATGAAAGAGCAGGGTGAGGGGAGAGGAGGAGAGAGGCCGAGGCCGAGAGGGACCCAGAAGTGCACCGGAGAGGAAAGAGTGACCGGGAGAAAGAGAGAGAGAAGAAAGGGAAAGGGAACCTGGAGAAACCGAGGTGGTGGGGTGGGAGGAGGTGCTTCTGGGGGCGCAGGGGCACGTACTACTGAACGAGGATTTTCACCAGGTTGATGTGCCCGCAGGTGGCGGCGGCGTGCAGGGGTGTCCACAGCTCATTGTCCTTGGCATTCACGTTGGCACCGTGGGAAAGGAGCAGCTTGACGATCTCCTCAAAGTTGTCAATGCAGCACTGTCAGGGAGACGCATGCGGGGTCAGCGGGGAAGCCGGACGGGTGGGGTTGGAGTCCATGACCTCTGTGCTGTGTGACCTTGGATAAGCCCCCCCAACCTCTCTGGGCCTGTTTCCCATGAGTCAGTTCATGCTACAGAGAGAACAATGAGATTCATACCAGAAGACGCAGCAGGGAGGAGCAGGGGTGGGGTAGCCAGTGTAGGGGCCCCACCAGGTTCAACCTCCTCAGTGCAGCGGGGTGGCGGGGGGGGGCACAGAGCGAGTGACAGTCAGAGGAGCAGCACAATCTGACCTGCTTTAAAGATTGGGGGGTCGGGGGGGTAAGCAGTGGGGTTATAGTACAGAGCGCTGGCCTTGCATGCAGCCTGCCCCGGTTCCATCCCTGGCACCCCAGATGGTCCCGGGAGCCCTGCCACGACTGATCTCTGGGCACAGCGTCAGGAGTAGGGACTGAGCGCAGTTGGGTGTAACCCCCAAACAGCAAAAGATTAAAAATCGGGGTAGGGGTGGAGAGCTAGTGCAGCAGGCAAGGTATTTGCTTTGCAGGCTGCAGACCTGGACCCAGACCTTCACCAGGAAGAGTCTGCGTGGGGGTGCCCTGCCCATCCCCTCCAGAAGTCCATCTACCCGGACACAGCGTCTTCATCCATCCATCCATCCATGCATTCATCCATCCACTTTTCAGAAATCCCTCCCTGTCTACAATAGAGAACCGATGGCAAATGGGACTCTACTCAGTGAAAATCGATGTTGAAAACACACGTTTGAAGATGATGGGGGCTTGGCCTCCGGAGTGACCCTCAGCCGGGAGAAGTGAGTGGCTGCCTGCAGGCGGAAGGCAGGGGGCACTTACAGGGTGGGGGACGGGGGTTCATGGCCCCAGGGTGGGTGTGGGGGTCAAGGATGGGACCCCTTCCCCCAACTCCCGCCCTCATCTCCAGCGGATCAGGGAGCCCAGAGCCAAGAGGCCATGAAGGAAGGGAGTAGCCACTGCACAGAAGGTGCTAGAGACACAGTGTTCCTTCCGTGCCAGTTGGTCTGGGAAGGCGCGTCTGAGCCGCATCATTTCAGAAGCGATGGCCTAGAGCGGGGGACAGAGCTCCGGGCGCTGCTTCAGATCAGGGATTCCCGCCATAGCAGGGCAAGGCCGACAGAGGGCACCAAAGGCACCGCTGCGGCCGGGAAAAGGGGGGGGTGGGCAGGGGGCGCATCTTTGGGACCCGGGTCTGCAGCCCAGCCTCTGGGCTCCAGAGTTCCCTTGCAGGCTACAGGAAACAGGAGGAGGTTGGGAGGAGGCGGCCTGTTAAAGGGGGGTGGGGCGGGGTGGAAGGGGGATGGTGCATCCAGAACTGCAAGAAAGAGAGCCCATACCAGGGCTGAGCAGGGCAGGGGGTGAGGGGTCGGAGTGGGGTGGGGAGGGGGTGCAAGGCTGCACGTGGTGGTTGTCCTGAGTGCGCTGGCCTTGATCCCCGCACTGCACGTGGCATGGGGGAAACCACTCGCACCCCCACACCCCGGGGATCACCTCCGCCACTGTCCTGCCCTGCCCCCGTCTCACTAACTGCCCTTCCCCTGCTGCTCCACGTTTACCCAGCATGCAGTGGTGTCCACTGAGCCACCCACATGCTTCTGAGGGAGGGTGCTCTCCGAAGAGGGCTCCCAGGCTGTGTCCAGCCATTAGTGACCCCCATAGGCCTGGAGCCTGCAGGTACCACCTCCCCCAGGCCAGCTGCTGATGCTCTCCTGGAGTTCAGGGGGGCACGCTAACTCCTCAGATGTTTCCAAGGTACCTAGTCACCAGACTGCCCAGTGCAGATACACAGAACAGCCTTTCATCATGGGACACTGGCCTTGAGACAGGACTGTTCTTGAGCCTCAGTTTCCCCAGCTGACTGGGGCAATAGGGCGTCAGGGGTGCCGAGGATCAGGTGACACTTAAGTGAGGCTCTGCAGTCGTGGGCCCTTGAGCCATGCCCTCTCCTGGGACTCTGGGAGGGCTTGATGAGAGCATCTAGCAGCCCTCACTGCCCGGCCAGGCAGACCCTTGCTATTCCTCTTTTACTGAAGACAGTGAGGCGCAGAGAGCTTATGTAACCCCTCCAAGGTCACACAGCTAGGACGCACGGCTGTCTGAAGGAGCCAGCAGCTGCAAAGGCACGCAAGGAGTCACGGGGCTGGTGGCAGACGGTGGGGACTTGCCCCTGGGGCTAGTCTTGGTCCATCCCTTTCCGCCCTCTTAGAGAGAAGGGCAGGCTCTCGCCAGCCAGGCCTCTGACAGCCGAGCCTCATGCCAGCCGTGCTGCAATCAAGTCCATCTACCAGGACTGTATCTTCGTTCATTCATTCATTCATTCATTCATCCATCTATCCCTCCATTCGTCCTTTTATCCATTCATCGAACTATCCACCCATCCCCCATTCATCCATCCACCAATTCACCCATCTATCCATGCAGTAATCCACCCACCCACCCATCCATCCATCTGTCCATCCATCCATCCATCCATCCATCCATCCAGTGCCTTCGTTTGTGAAGCCAGCATGTACCTACTGAGCATCTGTGTGCCAGGGTGGTAAAGGTGCCAGCATGGGGCTGGACCACAAGCAGGAGCTGGTCTCTGCCCTTGTGCGGCTCATAGACTGTGGCACGGGCGAAATCCACGGCATGCTGGTGCCCATGGCTAACTCAGCAGGAAAGAACAGGCACAGGACGGCACAGCTCAGGCCCTCACTCTTGTCGGGGGCTAACCTGTGTTCACCAGAAGTGAGATGGAAAGAAGGTGTGTGTGTGTGTGTGTGTGTGTATGTGTGTGTGTGTAAGGAACCCCCAAGTGAAGAGAGCAGAGAACCAGGCTCCACAGCTCCTGGCACCCAGGCGTGAAGGAAAGACCCCCATGTGTGCACAGAGATTCCTGGCGGTGTCTCCACAGTTGTGCAGATGCTGACCTGGGGTGGGGGCAGAATGGGATGGGGGGGCTGGTGAGGAGACAGTGGCAGCATCAAGGAAAGAGATGACAGCTACAGGGGCTGGAGTGATAGCACAGCAGGGAGGTGTTTGCCTTGCACGGGGCCGACCCGGGTTCGATTCCCAGCATTTCATATAGTTCCCTGAGCAGATTCCTGAGTGCAGAGCCAGAAGTAACCCCTGTGCATTGCTGGGTGTGAACCAAAAAGCAAAAAATAAATAAATAAATAAAAAGAGATGACAGCTACTGCCCTCCCTGGCCAGTGGGGTTTGGACCCACCAAGCTGCCCTGGGGAGAAGGTGAGCTCTAGCAGCACATGGCTCATGGCCACCCCCCACAGTCCCACAAGCCCCCTGCTGTTGGCCTTGGTCACTGGGTGGGTGTGAGCATGCTTTACTCTGCCGTGACAATGACGCACCTACCAACTCACTCTGCAGGCCAGGACCTTTCCTATACACATGAGCATGTGTGAGGTGTGTATGCGTGTGAGTGTGTGTGAATATGTGTACACGCATGTGTGACACTGTGTATGTGTGTGAGAATTTGAGTGCATGTGTGTGCATGAGTGTGTGAGCCTGTGTATGTGTGTGAAGTTATGTGAGCAAATGTGTGTGAGCAATATGAGAGTGTGTCTGTGTGTGTGTCTGTGTATGTATGTGTGCATGAGTACGTGCCCTTGTCTGTATATGTGTGTGCACGAGTGTGTGCGCCTGTGTATGTATATGAATGTGAAGGTGTATATGTGTGTGTGAGTGAGAGGGTGTGCATGCCTGTATATGTGTGCGTGTGTGTGTGTGTGAGCAAGTGCGAGGGTGTGTATGAGTGTGTGTGCCTGTGAATGAGTGTGAAGCTGTGTATGTGTGGGTGAGCAAGTGTGACAGTGTATGTGTGTACATGCGCATGCACCAGTGTGTGTGTGTGTGTGTGTGTGTGTGTGTGTGTGTGTGGTGTGCTGTGCTGTATGCTCAGGCCCACTGGGCTTTGTGGTTGTGTTTGTGAGAGAGTCACACGTCCTGGAGGCAGATGGGCCCCTCTGTCAGAGCTCCCAACCCCCTATTCCCCCCACCCCCTCAACCCCCGTCCTGCCTCCCTGTGGGCTCTGGGCAGGCAAAAGCTGGGCGAGTGACACCTGTTCATAGGGGGAGCAGGGAGCCCCCCCGCCCTGACCCGGCCTTACCTGATGCAGGGCTGTGAGTCCATCCTCATTGCATAAGTCGGGGCTGACCTTATTCTTCAGGAAGTAGCGCACTGCAACAGAGGAGACGGGGCTGAGAATGCGAGCAGCGGCCCCTGTCCCCCCGGCCCAAGGCCCACAGTGGTTCCGATCCCCCTGCCATGGGCGCACAGGGAGCAGCCACATTCTCTGTCCGTCTTCCTGTGCTGGGATCAAGCCCCCACAGCACACCTGTAGGGCAGGCGCCCCACTGCCGAGCTACAAGCCCAGCGCCAGACCTCCCTGCATTTTACAGATGAGGACACAGGGACACAGTACAGGCACGTGTGGAGCGGGAGGTCCCAGAGCCCGGCGGTGCCCCTGTGTGTTTGGGGAAGGATCAGCGTGGGGGGTGGGGGGTGGTCGGACACCTGTGCGCAGGCGCTGGGCTAAGCCGGTTCCCCTAGTCACTTCGAGGTGGGTGTGCTCACCAACTGACCCACCCACCAGGCAGCCTCAGGGAGACACGTCCCCACTTGGCCATCTGTGGGACAAGGTGAGGGATCAGTGAGGGGAGTTGCGTCTGCCACGTGGTTTGGCCGTGAGCTGATAGTGGGGTTGCTATCAGCAACGTGGCTGGGCCCTGCCTGGGTGATGGTCAGTCCACAGGGGACTTCTGAGCCTGGAGAGGGAGTAGAGGGGCTGTAATATCCAAGAAGGGGAGACTGAGAAGGGGTGTGGCTGCGGCGAAGCCAGACAATCCCCCACAGCCCCCCGTGCTGTGGGAAGGGACAGGAGTGGCTCTGAGGCTCTGAACCAGTGGGGACCCCACCGCCACATCCAGCTATGAGGACTTTGTGCACTTGAATATAAAACGTCAAAGCGTCATTTCCACACTCTGGCCCTATCTCAGGCACATAACGGCCACACATGGCTGCCATACTGGAACATGCAGAAATAACACGTTTCAGGGCATGCCGAGAGTTCTGTGGGACAGCACTGCTTTGGGTCATTACAAATGAAAATTAGCCCCATCACAAGCCCCACCATCACCACCACCACTGTGGCACCCCACTACTCTGGGAACAAAGGACCAAGCACTCAGGATGGCAAGATGAGATCTGTGTAATGTGACCTCAGCTGGCAGGACTCCTCATGGAGAGTTCCCGGGGGTGCCTTTCCCATCCCCATGGAGAGAGACTGGCACGCCCACTCAGCTGAGACCATCAGCTCCACACCCTCCTCCCCAGCCTCATTTCTTGAACTCTAAACATCTTCCATATCAGCAACAGTCACCACACTTTTCTGGCCTCTGCTTTTGCATAGCCTGTTCCCATTACCTGGAAAACACTCATTCAACCAAGCATCTGACCACATCTGCACGCATCTACTCATCCAGCAAGCCTCCAGAACTATCATCTATGGTTCATTTATCACAGTATCTACCCAACACTATTCACTGCACATACGCCCAGCCATCCTCCCTCCCTCCCTTCCCTTCCCCTCCACTTTCTCCCTCACTTCTTTCTCTTCCTTCCTTCCCTTCCTTTTTCCTTCCCTTCCTTCCTCATTCCCTCCCTTCCCCCATCTCTTCCCTCCTCCCTTCCTTTCTTCCTCCATTCCTTCCATCTACTATCCATCAATACATACTTTCTCTCTTCCATCATCCACTATCCATCCATCCACCCAACCATCTATCCATCCATCCATTTGCCCACCATCCTGCTAGCCACCATCATCTCTGATACAAACACACTAGCCTTGCTCTGCATCCCGTAAGTTTTAGCCCAATCTCTACACATAATTACATAACTGTTTGCATAATTATGAGCATCAGGTCGCTCTGCCCACTGGACACGAAGCTCTGAGACTGAGGGACAGTGGCGTGGGACCAACTGCTCTTTCTCTAAATCCTGGCACATGGCAAATCCTCAAACCCTTCCAGGACTGCTACTGAATCCTGAGTTGCTCACTCAGTCCTGGGACAGAAGCTCTCCCACCTCTGAGCCCAGCAGACCCACCTCATGCACACACCTCGGGTTGGCACTGCATGGGTGACATGGTGACTGCCCCCAGCCACTGGGCCACGTGAGGGGGTGACGACAAAGTCACTGATCACCTGGTCCAACCTTTTTTTTTTTGCTTTTTGGGGTCACACCCGGCAATGCTCAGGGGTTACTCCTGGTTCATGCACTCAGGAACTACTCCTGGCTGTGCTCAGGGGACCACATGGGATGCTGGGATTTGAACCAGGGTCGGGCCGCGTGCAAGGCAAATGTCGTACCCGCTGGGCTATCACCCCAGCCCTGGTCCAACCTCTTGACGGGCTGGGAGCGACCGGGGCCTGGCACCCGGCCTTGGGGAGAGCAGACGGGCCAGGAGGAGTTTCTAGAAGAGGCTGCACACGTGCTGCGAGGGTGGGTGGCGAACAAGGCTTCCCATCCAGGAGCTACTCCGAGGCTCGGAGAAACTAAGCACCAGCTGCCAAAGGCAGCATTTGTGTGCGGTAATTATTAGGGTGTTCTCCGGGCTGTGTGGGAGCCGAAGACAAGTAATTACTCCGAAGCCCGGCGGTTATTTTCAGCCCGCGAGGTGGGACAAATCAGACCCAACCCCCGGAAGCCCTTAAGACTCCTAAGCTGGGACCCTCCGCAGCCCCAGCCCCCTGCTCTGGCCACGAGGCCCAGGCCTGGCTCTGCGCATGCTCACTAGCATGCAGCCCCTTCGGTGACCACAGCACGTGACCAGGCACCGTTGCCTCTGGGCTCTGGCGAGACAAGGGCTTCGTCCATCGGCAGGGCCTCCTCCCAGGGCCCACCTGGGTCTGGGCAGAACCACTTCCTTCCCAGGTGTCACCAACAGCCAGTGAGCAAAGTGCAGACCCCAGCCTGGCGGGGCCAAGCGGAGGAGCTGGGACTTGACGAGTCCAACCCTCCTCCCGCGGGCAGGCATGGGAAAGAGCAGGGCAGGGGCCCTGCGGAGAGCCAGCAGTGGGTGCAGGGTGACCAGAGCATGCAGAGCCACTGACTCCAGCTTCCGGAAGCATCCGAGATGCTGGAACCCCAGGCCGAGCCGCCTCCCCGCAGACAGAGGGGTGTCCGGCTGGACCACAGCAGGCCGGATGCACACTGGACAGTCAAGCTTTCCAGGGCCCTTCGGGGCATCCGTGCAGTTCCCTCCACTGCCGGCTCGGAGCTCTGCCCTGCTCCCACAATGCTCTGGGAGAGAGGCTCAGCATCCCACCGTGACCTGGCTCGGGGCTCCCGGGCCACGCCTGGCAGGCGGGCTGTTCGCACGCACCCGGTCTTACCCGGGTCCTTTAGATGCAGCCCATGACAAAGCGGTTCCGACGGCGGGTGTGGGGCCTACACGTCGGCGGAAGGCCTCACTCCCAGGCCCCCTGCGCAAGAGGCTCGCAGAGCTTCAAGATCCTGGGCCACGTGACCCCGCCCACAAGCCACCCAAGTCGGGGGGGGGGGGGTCCCGTGGAACCACGCATGCGCAGCGTGCAGTGGGGTGTGCGCCCGGGTCAGAAACTGGTTTAGGGGGCTTCCAGGGCCGAACTGGAATTCAGGGAGCACAAAGCTATTGAGGGCCCCACTCCCCGGTCCCGCTGGGTGTGCCCTCCGCCAGGGCTGCTCCAGCCAGGCTCCTCCTGAGAGGGCCTCTGCTTCTTCATCGGGTGGTAATTTGGAACCCTCCCCTCTCTGCCGTGGCTGTAAAATGGGGGTCACCACTGTGTTTCAGCAGGACAGTGCTCGGGAGTGACTATGGACACTGTTTTTTTTACATTATTATTATTTTAAATAGTAAGGCACCATGATTTACAGAGTAGGGTCACTTCTCCTGTTTTCATCCATGTCCATACCTGGCTCTATATTCAGGGATCGCTTCTGGCAGGGCTGGGGGGACGGTATGCAATGCTAGGGATGGAACTCAGGTCAGCTGCCCGCAAGGCAAGTGTCTTATTCAGTGTACTGCAGCCCCCGGCCTCTGGTCACTCCCTTCAAGAAGGAAGACAGCACCCTGCTGAGCCCCGGCCTGGCCTTGCCCTGTGCCCAGCTCCAGGATGTTCTACTGTCATCCGGTTTCTCTCTGGAGGGCAAGGAAGGGCAGGGAGAGTTGGGATACATCTGTTGGAGCACCGGGACTAGCCCTGGCTCTGGACCCAGGGGACCATGCTGGTGCTGGGGACAGACCGTGCCAGTGCTAGGGCAAGAACCAGGCTCAGTCTCCTGCAAGGCAAGTGCCTAAATCCCTGTACTATCTCTCCGCCCCACTCCACCCCGTTGGAGCTCCAGGGCTAGCCCTGGCTCTGTGCTCAGGGGACCGTGCTGGTGCTAGGGACAGACCGTGCCAGTGCTGGGGGCAGAACCAGGCTCCGTCTCCTGCAAGGCAAGTGCCTAAACCCCTGTACTATCTCTCTGCCCGCAGCCACCCCCACCCCTCGCCCCAGCTCTCTTTTATTTGAACTGATTGGTTACTTTTGCAACATTGGGTATCAAACCCAGGGCTCGGCACATACAAGGCAAACGCCCCTCCCCTGAGCCATCCCCTCTTGCCTACGCCCCCCCACCCTGCGCTCCCCACCTGTTGGAGGCAGAGACCGTCTTCCCCCAGGGGGTGCCAGGCACCTGCTGGGCCACTGTGCAGCCAGAGTGAAGCCATGCCCTCCCTGCCAGCCACTCTCCCATGGGCAGGACCCCCGTCCATGGCACAGAGGGGGCCCCCTCCTCTCCTGCACTCCCCTCTGGCACCAGCCCCGCCGCTCCGCCCACACCTCCCCGGCAATCTGGCTGGAATCTGGGCCAAGCGAGGCCATCTGGTCGGCTCCGACTCCAGCTGCAGCGAGTGAGGCTGTGGCTCGGCAGGAAGCTGGGACGGCTGTCTTCGTGGGGAGCAGCCACCACCCACAAGTTTGTGTTTTCTTTGCCCTCTGGCCCACCTGGAAACCGTCACTGATGCGGGTTCATAGGTGTGGTCCCTGCTGTTACTCTACTGCCCCCTGGTGGTGGGTAACCTTTGGGTCTCTACCTCTGGGGGCGAGGGTGGGGACCCTGTGGGGACCATGGCCCCTTGACCGGGCACTTGCACA